GGGGAATACTTCAGGTGAGGGTGATATTACTGCATATGAAGAAATAGTATTAACACAGTGTCCCTTTTAATTTATTTTCTTTTTACACTCCTTTTTCTAGGTCTCACCAGATGTATTACATGTTTGGCTTCCTGTTTCTGGTATTCATTATTTTGGTAATTACATGTTCTGAGGCCACAATATTGCTCTGCTACTTCCATCTATGTGCAGAGGTAAAAAAAATTCCTCAGTATTCATACTCAGTGTTGTTTTAATGATGCTTCCAAAAAGTTTTAAGGTTTTTGTAATTGGAAATAAGTATTCCAGTATCCAGTGCAAGCACCATTGCTAGATGTCCTTAAACCCTGTCTTCAAAAAGTGAAGCAGACTACCTTTGCCAAACTTGTAAGAAACCTTAAAACACTGCACTGAGTACTGCTAGGTCGAGTGTCTCATCTTTAGAGTCTAACTCTGTTTTCTGAAGGCACTGAACTAATCCATTAACTTTGTTCAAAGTGCATTTTGGACATGCCTGACCTTGAGGGGGCGGGGAGGGGAAACTGCAAAAAAAAAGTATCCATGGCTGGCAATAGTAGGTCTGGCTTATTTGGATTTTTAGATTTTTTGCTTATTTGATACTGATCTTTAGGCTTCTGACCTCTAATTGTGAATGGTGTGGTTAAAGCAGTATTGATTATATGTAGTTCTTTCTCCAGAAGATAGCTCGCTTTGGGTGAAGTGATAAGAGCAGCAGTAGCTCTGCATTCAGCAGTAGGGTCGGGGTGTTGGAGGTGTGTGGGATATGAGCTCAAAGGCTGTTTTGTTGTGTTTTCTCCCCCCTCCAGGACTACCACTGGCAGTGGCGCTCATTTCTCACGAGTGGCTTCACGGCGGTTTATTTCCTTATATACGCCATACACTATTTTTTTTCCAAACTGCAAATCACAGGAACAGCTAGCACCATTTTATACTTTGGTTATACCATGATTATGGTTTTGATCTTCTTCCTTTTCACAGGTGAGTAAGTTTTGAGTCTAACTTTAGCTTTGCACAGTAGAATATTTGGCACAACTTATCTTGATACGGGATTATAAATTTATATGTCTTGGATATTTTTTTTCCCCCAAGTAGTTGTGTAGCATTTTGCAATTCGGTGATCACAAATTTCAGTGAAAGAGATTAAGTGAAGATAAGGCAAAATGGCGAATTTGAGAGGTGGCCTATAATTAGGTCTTTAAATATGACACTGTTAAATGTGATAAATACTTCTCCAGATTTCATTCCCATGTTAGTCATGCGATAAATTCAATTTTTAAAATTAGCTACTTCAAATCACACATAATCAAGTACTGAGTATCAATTAAGTTAAAAATTGCAGCTTTCTGTGGAAAAGGAGGAAGGAAGAGAGCGGAGTAAAAGTTGACAGAAAATACTTTTTTTAAAAAAATTTATTTGCTGTCCTGGAATTTCTTTACCTTCATTCCCAATTGCATTGAAGTGGCGCAGGAAGCAGACAGAATTTCTTAACTATTTTTTGATGCAGTCTTGCCAGAGCCTTGTCATCTTTGTGAGCTTCTGGAAAAGCACCTGTCCTAGGTGCAGCTTCAGTGCTAGGAGGGAATCTTCAGTTAGACACACACACGCAACCCTTGTTTGGGTTGGAGGAATGGTGGCGAAGGTGCAAGAATGCTCCTTTCAAACACTCATTCAGGAGGGCAGAAACTACCAATTCCTCAAAAATCTTAAAAATACTAAATTCTTTTCCAGCAGAATATAATCTGTCTTTGTGGACTCTACAGAGCAATATTTTTGTAACAGTTTTGAACTGAAAGTGCTCTAAATCATTTCAAGCTTCATGATTATGATGAAGTTTAATGATTACTAAAGGCTTTGACTTTTATTTATGTATACAGCTATACAGGCTAAATTTGGAGGCCTCCTAGAACACAAATGGCTTTTCATCAGAGCTTTTAATACAGATCTCACTATAACTATAAGGAGTATTTTCGTTTCCACTTAACATAGGAGAATAAAAAGAAAAAAATTTAGTGGGGAAAAAAACCCTGACAATTAAGAATGGTGTTCATTTTAAGCATAACAGTGTTAATTTCAAAGGCATCACCACATCAACTTAGGAAATATTGAAGCTGTTTGTGCACCATGACTGAATGCAGATGATGATGAACAGGAGCAAGAGCCTGCAAGGAGTTTCTTGGGTCATTGCCTGTTAAAAGGAGAGAATGGGACTTAAGTAGGTTATATAATCACTTTGAAAAAAGATCAAGCTGTGTTCCAAAAGTGGTTAGTTTTACCTTCCATCCTTCTTTTCAAGTCAGTCTAATGTGTTTTGGCATGGCTTGCAGATACTGTGTAATTTACACATCATCAACACTTTATTTTGTGTACTGGTTAGGCAGTCACACTGAATGGGTAGATCAGTGATTCTGCCTCTCTTTATCACTCTTATTTCTCACCCTGCCTTCTTCTTAACCTTTATTTCTGATCTGAGTTTGCTAATCTGTTGAATTGAGGAACTCAAGAATGCAGGATTGCTCAACTAGAGATGAATGTGTATGTCTGTAAGCAGTTTTAAATGCAGTGCAAACGTACAAAGTAGCATGAAGAAATGATTAGGCCTCACATAAGTGTGAGGTCGATTAGTTTAGTTTCAGTAGCTTTTCCAACAGATACTCAGCATGTCTGCCTTTAATAGCAAACAGCCTTGGCCAGAGCCAGGGTTGTGTTTAGTCGGCTTCCTTTGTTCAGTGTTTTGGTGGGTGCAGTAATTCCGGAGTGCACACATTCCAGATAAAGAGGGTTTCCACTGTATTTTCTGTGCGGAGGCTCAGCTTAGCTGAGGTACCTGTATCATTTTCCTCTTTTGCCTGTACTCCTTCAAGTCAGCCATGTCACGTGACGTTGTCCGGAGGCATCAAGACGTGTCCATCCCCCTTTTCCTCTGCTCACTCACACCTTCTCTTTCCATTGACCAGCTGGCTGTGCAGCACCTGCCAGCAGATCTGGGGAGTCCTTTTCAGGGCAGGTTCAGGAGAAGGGGTGTTTTACTCTTAGAACCCTTTGGATGCTTTCTGCGTGTGATAGTCATTTGTATGTAACTGGGACAATGGAGGTGCAAGCTCTGCTGTTCAACTTGAACTAAGCTTTCAGAGTTTGTGTGCTTTTGGGTTTTGAAATGTTCAGTTTCTATATTGAAATTTGGGGAGAATACATGTGAAGAAACAGAAGATTGAAACATTGTGTGCTCAACAATTTTTTTATAATCTATTTTGCACAAGATTAAGTGCAAATTATCCTTTAAATTGAGGGAATAGTCCTCTTTCTTAAGACTGAAGAATAATTTTTGTCCATTTTAAGTTTCTATGCGTTCAAAGGTGGATATGTTCAGTTCTCTGAGGTTTACTGAAGTACTTTGAGATAAGGTTTTTACAGAAAAATTTAGAGGCAAGGTAGAGGGGCAGGCAGTCTCTTTAATGAAAAAGCATGTTAGCAGTGTAACAAAAGCTGCTCCTAAAGGCAACTGACTTCCTGTGTCAGGATGATAAAGAAGCTAAAAGGAGAAAATCATAATTGTTGTATCAAAACTGTTCTGCTGCTGCTTACTCATCTGTTAAAAATGGTCAGTATGAGGAAGGGCTTTGACGGTGCCCTGCTGCTCTGTCAGTGTAACACATGCTCCAGGCACTTGCATCCATCCTCCATTCCAGGTCATTGCTCAGGCTCAGCGGGTGAAGCGCCGGGAGCTACGTGACAAATCTCTGATTCGCAGCTGGGGCCACAGCTACGTATCATACCCAATGAGTCAGTTAAACATCAGTGGCTTAGCAAGCGTGAAGGGAAAAAGGGGAAAAAAAAATTGCTGTGATATCATTCATGGTTCCTTCCAAGCTTGTGTGGTGAATGAGTTAGTGCACACAACTTCTGTTGTGCCTCTTATCAGATCTAAAATAAGGGCCTTTCTTTTTGTTTGTTTAAAGAACTTCCTTGACTCTTGCATAAGTTGAGGCTGTGATTTTAGAAGAGATACTCAGGCAAGAATCAGATAATCTTCAGGGCGTCTTTCCTGCCCCAGTTTTTTGTGTGAAATGAAGGTTCCAGTAACAGGTGCTCTGAGCTACTCTTGGGCCCATTACCGTTCTGACTGAAGCTGCATTTTGAAGTCATACAGTTAGATGAACAAAACCCAACTGTATTAACTACTTAGCATTCAAAGGAATATTTTTTGTTAAAAACTGCTTTTGGAGTTTCACAAAGAGAAGGACTAGAGCTATTTTTTGTCAGGTAAAGTTTCGAAGTTATCGGGGAAACTGTCTTTGTCCTTAAATTTCAGTTCAAGTTTGCTTATACCTTGTAATTGCCTTAATTATTTCAGAAGCTGCCTTTTTTTTTGAGGCATGTAACACACATGTTCAATAGGAAGTACAAGTTGTGTAGTAACTACACTGTGGTTTGAAATTTGTATGAACTCTATTTACACAGAAATAAAGGTAGTTCTCTAATTTTCCAAGACCTTAAAGTATAAGTAAGAAATGGAAACTCCTTGTGATGCTGTCCTCATCACTGGTTATGTAATATAACAACACTCTGACCAGCTAAGCAGGTCATGTAAAGCGTGTGTGAGTGGTCACTGGAGGAGGGAGACAGAGCAGTGGGAAGGAGTTGGACTGGCGAGTGGTGAAACAAATGTGAACAAAACTGAACAAAGCACAAACATGTAAGAAGAAAAATAACACAGAAAAATCTGAAAATAAGTCTTCCAAATGATCAGCTCCATGATGATGAAAATAATTGGGTGTTTTATATAGTAGTCAATGCCTATACAGACCAGGTATTGTCTGCAGCTTTCCCTTGTCTGATCTGATGGATGTACCGATACCTGAAGGCTGCAGGTTGCATAGACACGTGTCCCCATTGATGAACTACAGGCAGAATTTGTCTCTTGTGTCAGTTCTAACGTTTTGATTTTTTTTTTCCTTAGGGACAATTGGATTCTTTGCATGCTTTTGGTTTGTAACCAAAATATACAGCGTGGTAAAAGTTGACTGAAGAAACCGGTGTAAAGAATTAACACAGAAGAGGTTTAATCTTCATTAATATAACTTAAAGACCTTGTCTAGTCGATGAACTTGAGCTTTATCAGAAGTGTTGGCTTCCTGTTCTTTGAGAATGATACTGAGTATGCAGCTGCCGAAACAATTTTTCCACTAACACGTTTGTATTGTGACTTAACAACCTGGTTCCATTCAGATGTTAATGAAGGTCAGAGTTACAATATTTATGCATTTGTAAATACAACTATACTTCAAAGAAATGTTAAATTCTAATGGCAGAGTAGAAGTGGCTGTATTACATGACTTAATGATACTTCTGATCAAAGTACAACTGTAAATAGGTTTTTCTAGCTTGGTAGTTGGGATGAATTATTTTTCTTTGAGGGAAATGAGAACTTTTTATTATGCTAACTTTGAAGGATGACTCTTAAGAAGTGTTGCTTTTAGTTCAGATGTGATTTTTTTTTACTGGTGTTATGTCCATAAATATTCTGATTTCTGTGACTTCATTAGTTTCAGTGTTCTTGGCCTTTTAAACTATGTGCCTCTGAGTCCTTGAATTTATAAATTCATAATCTAATAAATATTGTAAAAATGTCTTCAGTGGCTTATTACATATTATAAGTTCACAAAATATGTAAATACAATTATATTGAAGATGGATGCTTAAAGATTGCACAGAGTATTTTATGGCATTTTTCTATGGTTCAACATATATTGACACCCCCTTAGATCTGCAGGAAATGTTATTTGTGCTGCGTGGCTGTAGCAGGGAAATGTGTCTGTGGCGCTTGGGAATGAAATTACACAGGCATTTAACACCCCCACTCACAGCATTGACCCAGCCCCTAGCCCAGGCATGTTCTCAGCCTGCTGTGGAGCTGTCAGTGTGTTGAGAAGATCTTACAGTGCATGAGTCAGCACTGCTGAGCTTGCTCGTAAAGGATCTCGAAGATGCCTTTTCTATAGGGCAACTAGTGCAGGTTGTACTTAATGTAGGTTAAAAAATAAAATAATTACTATTTTTGCCTTATATTAAGAGATTAAGGTAAATTTTTGGATGCCTAGCATTAAACCTATATTTGATTTTTTTTAAAAAGGAGTATTTTGCTCATATCTTATTTGGTAATTTTAGACTCATGACACAATTTTGGCTTTTGGCATGTTTTCACAAGCCTGATAAAATTTTATTTCAAATTAAATTTCATGTACCAATTGCCTTTCATAAGGTTGGGTTTTTTTATTCTGACCAATTTACTTTATAAAAGACCTTAACTCAATGATGCTTGAATACTGAACCCAATAAAGATACCTTTGGTTAAGGTAACTTGTCATTATTAACCTCCCAAAAGTCGTCATGTAAAAAGGCTTCAGGTGCCGTTTGAGCTGCGGCCCTGCCCAGATGCACCCGGGGCTCTGGGGCTCCGCCTGTCCCCAGCCCCAGCGCTGTTCGGTGTCGTGAGGGCCGTGTTCCTGTGCCCCGCCCCACGTGCAGTCGCTAGGAGAGGCTGATCTCAGGTCAGTCTCCCCTGGCTCGGGTTCCAAACAGGCGAAGGGCGAGCGTGGCAGGCAGTGCGGTGAGCTGTGCAGTGACTCCTGATTTAAAGAGTGAACTTGAGATCTTTTAACATCCCTGGCTTTGTGATCCCCTGCTGCAAGTGTAGTCACCGCTCGGCATCACCGGTAGTAATGAGGCAAATGGGAACTCTGGGTTTGAGAAACAGGAATCGGTTGCCTGTTGTTAAACCAGGAATAGAAGAGAATTGCAGTGACACAAAACCAGGTGTTTGTGATGTATTTAGAGTTGCTGTTTAAAAATCAGAGTAGCAGAAGTGAGAAGTGGCCACTACAGTAGGTATGTATATGGGTTTGAAACTGATGGGTGTATTTCCCTGTTTGGTTGGTTGGGTTTTTTATATGGACTAGCTGACAAGTCCTGGCAGCTTCTCAAGTATCTTTTCACCTTTAAAGGTGGTTTGTGAAGTGTGTTGTTTCCTTCTGGAATCAACCCTACTGCATACACAGTTTCTCAAGCAGCCTTGACTTGTCATAACTGCAGCTGGTCTGGAATTTGAAATGGGTTTCAGTGTGCAGTACTTGAGACAACCCAGAAAGGTGAATACATCACAGATTTCACAGAAGAGCTATTCCAAAGTTGAAACCTGTTCTTGCCTCTGATAATTTTAAAAGCTTTTCTGGCATGTGTTGGGGAATCCAAATGTTCCTCTATGTACCTTACCTGTTCTTCAGATCATCTTGGGAGGCCTGGGCTTTTTGTCTAAACTTTCAAAATACTGGTTTCCTCCAAAATCTTTCTATACTATAAGACAGATTCTTAAAATGCATGTATTGCACAGGTACCTGAGAAAATGGAAATTAATAGAGAGATTAAGAGATTGGGGCAAATTGCTGAGCTGCACAAAGCAAGTTTAGACAAAATACTTCAGACCGGTGTCAATTTCTTGGTGGCTGGTAAACAATGGTTCTTCAGAGCCTGAAAAAAGTGACCATTGTCACCAAATTTAGTCTGAAAGTAATCCTGCAGTCCAAATTGTGTTTTGAAAACATGGTATGGGAGTTAGTGGTTTAGTTTTCATCCTCTGAGAAGAAATTAGAAAAGGAGCTTGCCATAAAGCTGCATCTCGTGGGAAGCTGCCTGGTCTGTCTCTGGCCTGGGAGCTTCACTTCTCACTGGAACGCTTGGCTGTGTCTGACCAGCTGGAAGGGCTCCTGGGCTTCTGCTGTCACGCAGGTCCTGCGTGCCCTCAGCTGCTCTGCTGATGTGCAGCCGTCCCACAAATAGCAGCCGGCTGACTGGCCGTGGGCACTGCAACATCTTCGTGGGGTTTGTGCCGTTCTCAGGCGCGAGGCAGCGAGGGGTGGCAGGTACAGGTGTGGTGCAGCTGTAGCACCAAGCAGAAGGGAGCAGACAGCACTGGGGAAGCTGCAGGAGTACCTCCATGTTTCTATAATGCCACTTGCTGTCCTTTTGGGGCTTGGGACATTGAGAGTGATGTGTCACACAGAGGTCCATCAGCAACTGTGGAGGGAGGAGGAAGCCTGTCCTCTGTGGGATGGTGAGAAGGGGCAGCTGAGCTGTCTGGTTGTTGGATGCTGAGGTGGAAGGTTTCTCTGTGATGGCCTAAAAAATATGTTAAGTGGGTACTTTAGTCCTGTCATGGGTGGTACCTGTATTTTCTTCAGGAAAAGTCTGGAAGAGAAGTGAGGAAGAGAGGTCAGAACAGAATGGGAAGTCAGAGAGAGTAGTTAACTGCTTGTCAATCAGATATGCTAGAAGAATGAAACCAGTCACGTTTGGGTGATGGCACATTCTTGCCACCTCACAGGATTCCAGCACTTTCAATGAAAACTCCTAATTCTTCTTTTCTCTCGGAGGTATTTTAGCATCACCTGCTGGCCACAGCATGTACCAGCGTACCGAGTGCAGGAGCAGAGTGGAGGGGGTGATAGGAAGGTTTCACCAAAGTACTTTACTGGAATGGCTCATCTTTGACATTGTATAGAACTGCAGAATGCTTTGGGTTGGAAGGGATCTCTAAAGGTCATCTTGTCCAACCCCCCTGCAGTAAGCAAGGATGTCCCCAACTAGATCAGGTTGCCCAGAGCCACATCACGCCTGACTGAATGTCTGCAGGGATAAGGCCTCCACTGCCTCTCCGGGCAGCCTGTTCCAGTGTTTCACCAGTCATAGTAAGGAACTTCTTCCTAATGTTTAGTCTAAATCTACCTGCCTTGAGTTCAGAACCATTGCCCCTTGTCCTCTCACTATGTGCCCTTAAACACAGTCCCTCCCCAGCTTTCTTGTAGGCCCCCCTAAGATACTGGAAGGCCACAATAAGGTCACCTCGGAGCCTTCTCTTCTCCAGACTGAACAGCCCCAACTCTCTCAGTCTGTCCTCGTAGGAGAGCTGCTCCAGCCCTTGGATCATTCTCGTGGCCCTTCTCTGGACACGCTCCAGCAGCTCCACGTCCCTCTTGTAATGGGGGCTCCAGAACTGGATGCAGTACTCCAGGTGGGGCTTCCCCAGAACAGAGTAGAGGGGGAGAATCACCTCCCTCGACCTGCTGGCCACACTTCTCTTGATGCAGCCCAGGATCTGGTTGGCTTTCTGGGCTGTGAGCACACACTGATGGCTCATGTCCAGCTTTTCATCCACCAGTGGCCCCAAGTCCTTTTCCACAGGGCTGCTCTCCAACACATCATCCCCCAGCCTGGACTGATAATGAGGAGTGCCCCTACACAGCTGCAGGACCTTGCACTTGGCTTTGTCGAACCTCAAGAGCTTCACATCTCATCTTACCTTTAAATATGTCTGCTCATTTCAAAGTTGCTGGAAATAGGCAGCCAAAATTCAAGGCAAGTAACAATAAGTATACAAATAATTTATCAGTGTGCTAAGAACATGTCTCCTGTGTCTAGTGTGGGCACAGGGCTGGCAAGAGTCCTCTAGAACTCACTGTATTTCAGATACTCTGGTTCCTGTTCTTGCTCCAGCACCCACACTCTGCTGCCTTCCAACACTTTCTAAGTTCACTAAAATAGGGGTGCTTCAGAGGAGGCCCCACAGTGTTCTGAAAGGCTGGCCAGCCTGGGTGCTGAGGCCCAAGGCCATGTCCTAGCTTCATACTTTCAATACTGTCAAGACCCCATTTTGCAACATTTACTTGGCTGTGTGGGGTTTTTTTTACGGAGTTTTGAGGGTTTGATTTGGCTGCTGGTTTGTCCTGAGTTTTTTTTTCCACTGCTTTTATCAAGTCAGAAAAACAGTAGATGTATTTCTCATTTTCTTCTTTGTTTTGGGGTAATTATTAAGGTAGAGAAAACATTCTTCCTGCTATTTTTCCCAACTTTCCATGACTGTTGGTTTGTTCACAATTACCTGTTCAGCTGAGGTATGTAAAATCACAGAGTGAACTGACCCGGCTACAGACCACGTGAGGAAAAGGTCGTGCAGGTGGTGACCTCCCAGCGGGGCAGGGACAGGGACAGGGATAGGGACAAGAACTGGGACCGCCCAGCCTCCGCTTCCCCCACCACTGCTGGAGACAAACTTCTGGTTTGGAGGAGGTGAAGGCAGGTGGGCTGTCCTCTGCTCCCACCGCCACCTGCACTAGGGCCGAGTCGCCCTGTGAGACTCCCGAGGCACGCAGTGAGCTGGCCGGGGGGGGGGGGGGGGGGCGTTTCTTGCCGTCTGCGAAGAAGCAGTAGGGTTGTGGCGTTTAAAAAACGTGGGGTGGGGGGCTGCTTTCTCCTTCTGTGGCCCAAGAAGCAGTAGGGTTGTGGCGTTTTTTTCTTTAGTCTTGCTTAGGAGCTACAAAATGGAGCAATCAGGTCAGCTCTTTTTTCCTACTTTTTTTTCTGCAGGTTCCCACAACCTAACCACTCTTCCCCTGGAAACAGCTTGTCTCTGCCATTGCAGCAAAGCTAGTGAGACAGTTGTGAAGAGATGGATGTTTTGTTCTGTGTGCTTTTCCTGCTGTCTCCAGGCTGCAGTGACAGCAGCGGAGCTAAGTCACACCATGATGCATGTTCGGCTGCATGGTGTCGGATCAGTGCAGCCCGAGGCAGGTGGAGG